AGGGAAATTATGTGTAATGAATGACATGCTTGCCTAAGAAGCTTTTCCTTTTTGTGGCAAGTGTATCTTCTGTATGTATGCATGTGTATGTGCAGATAAGATGTGTGATGGCTATGCTTTTCCCTAAAAGTAAAATATCTTTAAAGACTAGCAGGCTGTAATAGTAAAAACACTTTTACACTGGATTTGGCCCACTACAGTCTTTAACTTCTCAAGCCTCCTTTTACCGATTAATTTTCATATCAATACAAATGACAGGAGGTTGGCCCTGAATGCCACAAATGTATTTTTTAACAGTTTTCTTTAAAAAATATAGTCTCACAAATCACCGTGCTCTTCTGAGCATACTGGTAGATACTTATGTGCTTAAAGGCTTTGTAGGATCAGGATCTATTGAAGCATGAACAAGATGATAAATCTTTCCGTGTTAGTTCTGTGAATTTTATTTTGCAATAACTGAGATTTAAAACCTCCCATTTTTCCCTTTTTCAAGAGCCTGTAAATTTGTGGACACATTTGCGCCTTACCAATAACTGTATCAAGCATACAATCCTTCTCTTTGGCAATACGGGACTTAATTCTAATATCTTCAGTTTGAAAGTGCATACACTTGAATTTAACTAACTGCCATCTCTGTAAAGACATGTCAGAATGATCTTATTTAAAAGAATATTCAGCCTGGAAGTGCTGTTAAATATGACTGCAACTGTGTGTCCGTGAGCTTTGACACTTACTTCCATGAAAATGTTAACACATTTTGTTGCTTGTTCCATGTAATACTGTATCTATTGTAAGAAGCACAAAGGTGAACTGTAGTTTTATTTTAATAAATTAAACTGTTTTGTGCTAATACAGCATTTGACAACTTGTAGATTTTGTTAAGAAATAATGTAGTAAAATAAGTCTTTAAGACTTCCTTCTTCACCATATATTTTCTATCTTGACAGGTATTATGAAGTAATAGAAAGGAATCTCATAACAGTTTGGGATTCAGGAGAATTTTTATACCAGTTTATTCTGCCGGCTTATAATTTCCTTGTTGTCCATTGCATTGTTTCTTAAAGAGCAGCTGGCATATTGAGCAAGAAGGACCACTGTCTGATCTGGCATGTCAGTTCCTATGCTTGTGTGTAGAGAATAGTATAGGATGGTACAAGAAACCATGAGAGCCTAACAAGAAAAGGTAAACTTCCACTGAACCTCAAGTAATGTTTTTTTTCTTACAATTAATCTCCCAAACAAGATATGAGCCGTATAACTGGAGATATTAAAAGTGGATGGGTCCAAAGCACGGGGTTCGGTGGGGAGCTGCAGAAGATAAGGAAGAGGACTAAAAGACCTTAACACAAAATCTGATGAACAAACCTACCTGTACGGTGTCCAGTGATAACAATGTCACGGCCAATTTTTATGGGCCTGATGCCACTTAGTTATTTCCCTGTGGGTTCTGAAAACGTGGGCGTCTAGAAGACAACACATTTCCTTTCAGCCCAGTCTGTAAAAGCGGGTTGAGTTTGGAACCCTCAATGGTGTTTTCTAATATCCAGCCAGTAGTTCATCTCTTCAGTTTTGTTGTTCACCTTTAAGCATGTTAAGGCATTGCTACCGTACGGTGCTGAATACAGTTTTCTTGCTGCATAGGGATGGGTGGAATGGCTTAGAACAGGAATAAAACTTTTACTTGAAGTTCAGTCGGAGCACTGTGTACAGCGGGTGCAACCTTTCTTTGGCACAAGGAAAAGTCAGTTGTACCATATTCTACAAGTTTTTGTTGCTGCAGCGGATTGTGGGATGTGGATTAAAGCAAGAGACCTTACATGGGGTGGCATTGGTGTTAAAGTAGTTGGAGAAGGGATGACAATTGGCTGCTGAGTGGGCCTTGGAGATGATGGGACTTTCTCCTGTGCTAGGTGCATGAGCTATTTCAAAAGGCTGTAAAATTAGCTCCAAATCCTTTTGGGTTGCTGCTGCATCTTGTCACAGTGAATAGTGCTGTTCTTGTACCTCTTTTACTGCCTTCCAGTCAAAGGTTGCTCCACCACTCTGCTGTTCCCTTTTGGAATCCTACACAGTTCTGTTTGCTTGTCCAAAGGGGTCACTAAACTCCTAATCTGAGTTTGAGGAAGCTGTGAAACTCCTAATTCTGTTCTTCCAGATCAGTTCTTTGTATGGCTGTTCAAAACTCTGTCACTGAACAATCCATGTTGTGCCGTAAATCTGACAGCTCCCAGCGAATAACCAAATGCATCTGCATGAGACTTCAGTGCAGTAAAACCTACAGAGCAGATTTCTACTCGGAGCTTTTTTTTTGTTGTACTCTGATTGGAGAATGAATCAAACTTTGACCGTAACTGATGTTTGTAAGAGACCTCATGCAAGCAAGGCTAAAAAGAAATTAATTGAGAAATCTTGGCTTAGATAGGGAACTAAAAATCAATTATCTCCCAGGGTTTGTCTAAAACCTAATTTTTATCAGTGATAACCTTACATGTGGGTTATTTTCTGTGTAAATATCTTTCTATTTCCCAATCTATTTAAAACTTCAAAATTTCAAATTAAATGCCTTATCTCCATTTTTTTCTTAATTTAATTTTGCTTGTAATAACATCTCATCAAGCTGATTTAAAAGGATCACTTAATTGGAGCTGTGCATTATGTTCTCTTGTAGACAAGGGCATGTTCTCAGCTGCCCTTTGCTTTTAAAAAGCTAAGAGATCCATGTTGTCCTGAATAATACTTCTTTTTTCAAATGTCTTTGCAAACATTAATTAGGCCTCGCATCTCTCCAGGGCCTGAAGTATTATCCCCATTTAATTTTTCTGGCCAGCTGCCCCATCTGTTATGAAATCTTTCTAAGAGGCTGACGTTGCCACTGCTGGGATTAGAACGGAGAAATTTCTGACTCAAATGAAGAATAATTCTGTCCGCTGCAGGAATAGTGTGTAACAGTTTGTGCCCAGCATTTTGCAGGTGGGTCGTACCAGGATTTTAAAATCCATCTACCTTTTTTCCCTGAAAATTACAGAAAAGTAAAGCAGGTGCGTAATGTACCTGTTTTTAGCAGGTACCATTGAAATAAGTTCTACAAGTGATTTGTGTAGAGGTGGGACTCAGCATAGAAATCATAGTGCTTCTGTTGAAAGAACGGTTTCCTTGTACATCAACTAGCACAGTGGTGCTCAACCTTTTGGGGCTGTGGGCCAGAAGAGTGGTGCAGGGCCAATTCGTAGGCTGGATTGGACCCCATGCACCAGGATTAAGCTCTGTGCTGCCTCCATTGGCCCCATGCCACCAGATCAGGTCCCAGCACTGCCGCCTCCAGCTTTGCGCTGCTTCACTAAGGTTCTGCGCCGCTGGATCAGGACCTGGCATTGCCTCCCTGGACCCTGCGCTGTCCCTTTGGAGCCTGTGCTGCCTCCCTGAGGCCTGACACTGCCTTCTGCTGGCCACCGTGTGCCCAGATCAGGCCCTGGGTCACCTCCCACACCTCAATCCAGTGTGCAGTCTGCCTTGGGGGCTCCCTGAGGGTCCAGAAATTTCGCAGCAGGAAAGGGGGCAGTTGGTGCCACCACTTCCCCCACTGCCAAATTTGAAGACCCAGGGAGACCCCTGCAGGTTGAGTGGGCTGGATCTGGCCTGCAGGCCAGAGGTTTAAACACCCCTGAATTAGTGCATTACAAAACAGCAGCATTTTGCAGATGCTCATTTTGCAGCAAAAGAGAGACAGAGGTGCATGCCCAAGGTTAAGCAGCAGGAAATCTGTGAATTGAGTCTCCAGACTCCTGGCCTTACCCACTGTCCTATGTGGCCTTCTTGTGGCAAAGGAGAGCAGCACAATCTGAAGAGAGACTTCAAATGATTTTGCTAGTTGAGTGTCATCTGTCAAAGAATGTAGCTTAGTATCCATATAATTGATCACTTTCTTTGCATTAGTATTAGTTATGCTATGGCACTGTGGTGACACATCTGGGAGATTACTTCACATCTGGAGTAGAATAAAAGGGCTCTGCTCCATCAGAGCTGTTAGAGAGGCACATCAGCTCAATGCAGGTTATGCATATAGAGAGAAATTCCAGTTTCAAGGAAACAATGCTACACCACTCCAAACCCTTCAAGAGTTTTTACACTTTGAAGAGAAGTAGGGAAAATGTCCTCTGATTTATTAACAACTACCGGAAGGACCCGTTCTTCACCCAGGCCATTATTTTTGTAATTGCAGTGTTTATTTATTTTCAAAGAACTTAGTACAACACATTTGGGTCAAAAATATTGTTTATTTTTAAAGAACATAGTACAGCACATTTAATATTTAACATGGAGTGACATTTCAAATGACATCCAAATGAATGATCTTTATTGTAGAACTTCTTGGTAAACAATGTTTGCGGTGTTTCCTGTTGGCACCAGTATATACAACCCTCTTGGACTACCACATATAACTGTCCATGTGAAAAGCATCGTTCCCTTCAATAGTCACTGGAAGCCCCGAAAGGGTCAAGTGAAAAATAACCCATCTATAATTTTCTTCAGGTATTGTTCAGTAATTTTGGAAGGTAGAGTTGATAGGACCAGCCATTCTCGAATTTTAAGCAAACATACATACAGACCGGTCCTATCTGCTCTGAACTTTCCAAAAATCACTGAATACGACATGAAGAAAATTATAGGCGGGTTGTTTTGAACTTGGCCCTTTTTGGGGCTTCCAGTGACTGTTTAAGGGAATGGGATTTGAATAGCTAGACCTACTCGCTCAGTGGCTTTGAAAATGTATGCCATTGTCTATTTATGATCTATAAAGTTCCCAGCACGTTTCTAGTCATATATATATAATGGTCATAAATAGACAATGGCTTACATTTTCAAAGCCACTGAGCGAGTAGGTCTAGCTATTCAAATCCCATCAAAATTAGTGGGAGTTCTGTGGTTAAATACCCCCCCCCCAATTCCTTAACCAGTCACACAA